AGTTGGCCATGTGTACGAAAAAATCAGGAAAATACCAACATGGTAACATAATCATGACTCAAACTCAAATTCCATGAAATTAGGACAAAATATAAACAAAAGAAAGATTTACATGGAGACTCGTGAAAACGTACAAGGAGAATAAAACCATGTGTTCCGGAAGAGTAAGCGTCTTCTGCTGTGTCGACGACACCCGCAATGTAAACATTGGTCAATCCCAGTCATTGATGTAACTTTCTCAAATGAGAACAACGTATAATCAACAGACATACTTTATATCCCAATGAAATCACTATGACGACCGTAAAACTACCCCATAATTTTCATCAAATTGCATAATTTGAACCCCTGTGTTACAGGTTTGTCCGTCAGTGAACGACTTCTTGCACAAAAATCATGATAATGGGAACAGGTCCTTGGATATCGCGTCAACTGTGACATATAAATACCATATGTTGGAGACGCAGAGATATTATTGCGCTTTTATTATACAGCTAGGTAGCAAGCTTTACATGTTGGTATCATCGTAGGAAAAGATCGAGATAAGCAGCTGATTTAGAAGAGTCGGTCGTATCTTTTATTTCCAATTCTGGTTGACATATACGAAGAACTTGGTCAATAAATTGCTTGCTATTTAAAGACAAAACGTCATCAATATATCTGAAAGTGACATTGTAACCTGTTTTGATAAGCTCTTCAATAAATTTAGTCTCGTATGAAAAAAAAAAAAAACAAGTCAGCCAACAGAGGGGCGCAGGTAGTTCCGATAGGTATGCCAATAGTCTGTAGGAAGATTTTGCCACCAAGCTCAAAACTGAAACTGCTGCATCATTTTTATTACTTCGTCTTCTATATATTTCGTCTTTGTTTTGGACGTATGTTTTACGAAATACGCTTCAGTATAGTTCATAACCATCTATTTATACTGCACATTTCTTGGAGCAGAAATCTCTCTTAACAAGAGAACAAAGGTGTTCCGTCAGTTTATAATGGGGTATGATGGTGTTCAAGGTGGAAAAAAATCAAACGTTCTTATAGAAGAAATGTTTTTTAGATTTGAATTTGAGATTTGAAGATTGGTCAAAAGCTCTTTGGAATTCTTTAAAATCCTCATACCATTGATTCCTCTTCTTGAGTAAACAGTGTTACTGCAAGACTGTAACCCAGGTTTGACAGTACATAGAATTGTGATAAGTAGTTTTAACAAAGGCTTAATTGAGCAGCTATTAAACGGGGAAGGTCCGCATCCTTATCATTAATAGACAATCCAAAGGAATTGTAATACTGAAGCATGATTGGCTAATATTTCGTCTTTTAAAAATATTGCATAATAGGGTTTCCTTCATTAACAAACAAGCCCGAAGGGTTTTATAATGTAAATTTATTGTCTATAAAACATGTGGATTGAAATGATTTTTTGTGTGTGTTTGTATATAGCTTGTTTAAAACTTGAATCACCAAGATTAATTCAGACTTTTATGTTGTTATTTAAACATTTTCATTCCATCGGACAAATAGTTTGTTCTGTTTTTTTATCGTAAAGAAATCTTAAATAGCGACAAATTAATTCTATTTTTTAAGATTTTAACGGTTTTGGGAACTTCTACCTGCGACATCTACTACAACATTTATCACATGCACTCAAAAATTATGTCAATATTTTTATAGACTTAAATGATATCTGTAAATGCATGTCTTCACAATGTAAAGAGTATACACAGGTTAAATTAACACTATAATCAAATAGGTGGGTCTAGTATTGATTTGATTGTTTTAAATTAGCTTAATAATAATGAGTGCACGATTTACCTACTTACGTAGTTAGTTAAAAATAACTTAAAAGATTTTATTGAATGCATGTCATGTTTTCAAACGTTTGAATGGCTTTACGTGTTTTTGTTTTGAATATAGTTAAGATTGTAATGTTATAGTGTTGATTTTATGTCGTACATTTGTTTTTTCCCTGACAAGTACTACATAACTGTTATGATATCCTGTAAATAGACCCTGGCTGGTGTATGGCAAGAAAGCTACGGTGAGTTCATAATGATCATATAACTTAAGCAAGTACGCAAAAATCTCGACCATTATTTTGATTTTTGCAAGACAGACTGCTTTTTCATATGTTCTTCTGCTTTTCATTATTTTGTTTGTATTATAAGTGACATTTCACACATACAAGTTATGATATCTTAATCATAATATTGAAGTAGCTACTGTACATATATCGTTTGATAGTCTACTATACATGTTTAGGCAGGACTTTTTAGCGAAAGAAATAAAATAGCAACAAAATAAACACAAACAACAACATCAACCCAAAATAATCTACTTAAAGAATGGGAAGGCTTCAGCAACGTGTTCCTTTTTTGTTGTAGGTTTGGTTGAATGCTGTTGCCGTGGTCCAGTCAAAACATTTATGCTTCTGGCTATTGGTGTAACAGCTGGAATTATATATACAAATGAAGCAGACAAATACAGAGTTCTTAATGAAATAGAATTATCAAATAGAGTTAAAATTAATAAAACCTCAACACGTTTGATTGCTACAAGCGGATCAGCGGTAAGAATAGACAGAAATCGGTACGTGTGTCCATCATCGTTAGGATACAGACTTGGTAATTTAATGTTTCTGTACGCCAGTAACTATGGAGTAGCTTATGATTTTAATTTAACACTAGCGATGGACGAAAGAGATGCTATTTATGAACCATTTAGAAATATACCCAAATCTCCAATTGACAGATCTACAAGGTGCCGAGGATTCAAAATGAGATTAATTCAGGAAAAAGCAAGATATTATCAAAAATTCAAAATTCCGAGAAATGGAAATATTGCATTGTTTGGATATCTACAAACCTGGAAATATTTTTCACATTCTTTTGAAGATTTGAGACGACAGTTTAAATGGAAATTAAGCATTCAAAATAAAGCTTTACGCATCATACGGAAACTTTCCAGCAATGCCTACCCTTCACTTAGATCAATATCAGTTACAAAAGTTGGTATTCATATTCGCCGAGGAGATTACGTCAGAGAAAAGCGGCCCCTGGCGGACTGGGAATATGTAGAAAGTGCCAAACGGTATTTCTTAGAAAAATATGAAAATGTCCTGTTTATCGTTGCAACCAATGTTGATGAAGAAGCTAAGCAATGGAGTGAAATTAACGTTATAAATGGAAGTGGGGTGTCATCTTTTAGTGGGTTCAACGATAGATTTGTAGATATGGCCATACTTTCATTATGTAACCACCTCATCATATCAACCGGAACGTATGGATGGTGGGCGGGATTTCTAAACAAAGGGACTGTACTCCATTATGACTGGATACCTCCACATCACGTAAAGTATAACAGAGATGATTACATACTCCCTAACTGGGTTGGAATCAAACCGGCGCAGCATGTTGACTACTGAAGCAGTGTTATTTGTTTTCCTTGCTTGGATTCAAACCGGAAGTATGACGTCAGCGAATAAAGCAGAACGAACTCCTCTTGGTCGGAATAAGGATGCAAAAGAAAAAAAAAGAGTTTTTGTTTTCTCACTTTGCCTCTCTGACGAGTCCTGGAGGGACAAAACAGTTGTATGATGCAGTTAACGGTATTATTTGGTATAAGCTGTTTCAAATTGTAACCTTATGTAGAAAGATGCTGCGCATTTGTGTGCTTTGTACAATCATATGTTTTGAAATCTAGGATGACAAACATTAACTGTCTAAATCCATGTTGGCTTCCTGTCTGCTACTTATTCGAGAAATACTCAAACTGTTATGTAAGTCCTCAGATGTCAACAAAATGAGATGGACACGTGTTGACCATTTCGTTTTATGATCCGTGAGTGTATCACTTGGAATAAAGCGATTCATCCATTACCTCTGGCAACAACAAATTTTAATAATGAAAAACTGGCAGTCACATAACCTATTTATATATATATGAATTTTAAAAAAGTTTGAAAAGATTTGATTATTACTGAAAGTTCTGGACAAAGTTCGTGAAATAATTCCTTGTCATGGAAAAAAATTGCTTTATTGAGAGGGAAATTATGACCTGAAATATGAATTAGACGTAGAAATTCCTTGTGACGTTTACCATAGTATTGTAAACCCGAGGTATGCGATACTCCCCTTTTTTCAACCATGAAATTTCAACAGGGTTATTACTGACCAACGTCCAAATATGGCTGAAACGACAACACTAAAACAACAAAAGCAACGATACTTTCGACAATTCTGAACATTTCGTAAACATAATCTTACAGATAAACCATAAATAGCTTGTGTCTAAACCAATTGAAAAAAAAATACATTTTCTGAACGGCAAAGTGTATGCTAAAACGAAAATCTAAGTCTGTGACAAATAATAGAAATATCTTAAGAATAGCGACTCTAACAGTTGTCTGTCTGATGCTGGTTGCATGGCATTCATGCCATTAATCTATATAAAAATGATCTACAAAAATGGATTGGTAAAAAACGATGATTTTAACACTATGTTATAATCATCACAGAACAAAAATGTTTTTAGACAGACTCTTTTTCATTATGCAAATATGCATTATTTGTTTATTTTCAATGTTGGCATTTAAGAAAATATCCGTGAATTATTTTCATCAAAAAAATTGAATTCATTGACCTTTGTTGCTTTTCACCTTCCATAATTCGTATCTGAAACAAAATCCCTGTTCAAGTGTCAAAAGACAAAACGATATGTTTATAACTAGAAATTTGAAGAACAGGTGTACCGGAAGTAAAAAAAATTCACAGACGCCCAATCGCATTGGTTATAATCCGCACATGCGCTCTCACATCACGAATAACTAGTCAAAGAATTGATCGTTGTTCTTATCATTAAAAGATATGATACGTTATTCTTTCATCTACCGAGATGTGCCACATGTGTGTACACATGTGTATCATGAGAAAAATCTCCTGTCAGCTCCAAGCTCTTAATTCCAATATGACAATATCAAATCAAGGGCATATTTTACAATTCGCATCAGTAAATCAAGAAACAACAGATTAACATTATCATGCAAAGCAGTAACTTTGATTGCAACTCCCAAATTCAGTCTCCACAATGGTACATTATATAGACATTTATCCGCATAATAATCCATTATGCATAAGTAGATGGCGATATACACAATCCTCTACAGTCTCCGATATCTTCCGTACACAACATTTCATGCAGTTTAAGTACAATCGTACGTACGATCATGACTCACACCACTGTCCATTTTATCAGAATTGTATGACATACATACAGAGATACACCACAGCTATTCTTTGTCAGATCTCTGTATGACATGCATACAGATACACCACGGCTATTCTTTGTCAGATCTCTGTATGACGTACATACAGAGATACACCACAGCTATTCGTTCAATGGCAGTATTCCATTTACTAAGAGGATCCTCAGACCACTGTGCTGACGCCCAATAAGCCCTGCATGCCCCGTGATAGTCCCCGAGAGTCTGGTAACAGATTCCAATGAGAGTGTGAACTATCCAGAAATTTTTTCCTCCTTGTTCAATATCATACTGGACCTTTATCAGGCTTTGTAGTGCTGCATCGCGTTTTCTGGTATGTCCAAGCTCGTGACAGCACACGAAGGTCAGAAACAAGGCATAGGGCAGTGGTGGAATTTGTATACATCTATGTTCTCTGAACAACTCTAGACTCAAATGAGGAAGATACATCCTATTATGATGAAATATCAGGAACTGTGTATATATTTTCTTCAGTCTTTCATATAATTCTCGTTGGTGAAGACTCTCATGTCTGTACATTTCTCGTAGTTGTGGATGGCTGTCAATATAACCAGCTACATAATATGATGCCAGTGTCATCACTTGTTTGCTCACCTCCAGAGATTTACCGAAAGCACCCGTAAGATAATGGAAAGTTGCCAAATACAACATGTCCGTACCCATTACAGCTTGATGAGTCATCCAGTGTTTACATTTCCTTAATCTCTCGTACTTTGTCTTGTTCTGTTGGGCAGCTAAGTGGTATGGAAAAATCCGTTCTGTTGCAAATATTTGTAGGCCTTTCATTGCATAGAAATACGTGTAATTGTCATCAAAATCTGTTCCTGACGTTGGTAATAACTGTATTGCTGCCTTCACCGACTTTAGCGTGAGGCGTTCGATCCACATCGAGATTGGTAGGACCTTTGATGTTGTAATATCCCGTCTCAATACAGTTTCCCAAAGAGGTGATGGGCGTTCAAGATGAGCTTTCATTGATGAGTCGGACAGAATCTTTGATACAGGTTGGAAGTAGCTACCTACGGACAAACACATCCATTTCATCTGACTGTATCGGTTTAAAACGTCCAGCAATATTTGTTGATGCTGCCCATGTATTTTTCTTTGGAACAAGTTGTTGTCAGGAATGAAGTAATTGGGACAGAATCCTGCCTTGACCGAAGCGATCAGAATATTGAAACAAAACCAAAAACAGTAAAACAGATTTTGGTCTTGCCAAAACCATTTTTCGGTTTTCTCCAATACGTGAAAAAGAATCGTTTTTAAGAAATAGGAGCATAAGATGTCGTCATCCCCGATGGTATCTTTTAATGTGCCTTTTATTTGTTTTAAGAAATATTTCAGCAGACCGTAAACTTTGAGTTGGACATGACTAAATGAGTGCACTAAAGATCTTTCTGCTGGTGCAAATGAAATTTTCCATTGTAGAAGTGTGTCTTCAGAACATTTATCTCCAACTGGAACAAGATGACATCCATTCTGAACAATCTTGTCTATTAAGGTTTGACACGGCCATCCATACAGACGTGTACGTGTGATCCATTCTCTCGCCTCCCTTGGCCAACTGTTACATGGAAAGCAATGAACGGAATCCAATTCTCCCATTAACCTCGTGGAAGAGCTAGGCCCATTCGATTCATACGCAACACCAACTACTGCACCAACGCTACGCACATGTTGCTCTCTGTAGATATCACTTGATAGAAATATTGAACTACCGACGCTAACAAGTGAATTAGATATGGATTTGTAATGGATATGTCCTAGCTGATGCAGCTCTAAATTCACATAACCTGGCCGACAATCCCCCTCTCGTATAAGCAAAATGGTTTTGCCTGCCATGTGTTTAGGAATATACTGATCTGGATATATTGCCAACACCATCTGGTCTACTATCATTCTGTCTCTGTCAGAACCTTTTAAATGAAGTCCTTCTCCGTAGCTTCCAACTTCAATGGTAAAAAGAGGATAATTGTCTATGTTTCTCAAACGCTCATTTAACAATATTGCCTTCCGCCAAATATTAATTTCCTCTTTCGTTCCCATAACGTTTTTATCCAGGTATGTCGAAAGGAGCTGGGATTTCCTCTCATTCTCTGTAGGTTCAATCATTGCTGCTTTCAAGAAGAAATCTGTAAAAAAAATTGGATACGGACTTAAGACTTGTTTATTGGTCTTTTCCCCCATCTGAATGTATAGGGTATTATCTCATAAATACACGCATTTTCATTATCTACTTCTAGATAAGGTTGAAAAATCCCTCTCCCAAGAAACAAACAAACAAAAACTACAAAGTTAACAATGTTTCAATGGTAAGGTCAAATTTCCTAACTAATTGGTTCAACTTATTTATTTGAACTGAAATACTTACCTGTCTATCAAAGGAAATAATTTGTAACTCCAATCGTCAGCTGGGATCTAGCTTGCATGAAGAACATGTCTTTACCGTAAACAGAACAACTCGTAAAACACGTCGCCAGAACACTGACATTCGTCAGTGAGACGATACCAGGACACGGGAGGAGTCACGGAGACGGAAACCCTGTCAATCAAACAACTCGTAAATGCACTTGACTTATGAAGGCAGCCATGAAATTATTTCCCGTTAAGGAAGCAAACAGATCAGTAGCAATTTATGTTTATGCACCATCAATGAGCTGCGGTTATATTTCTACAGAATACGACAACAAATGAGGTTAGATTGACCTCTTATTTGTTTTATTGTAGTGGTAGATTAATTTATAGAGAGTACAGTGTGTCAATATATCCCAGTTATGCAGTAATGACCTTTAATTTTGATATAAAGTTTTACCACTTAAGAAACAAGTTAATTAAAGTAATGTTGGTGGGTTAGAAATATAATCTACATAATTATATCCATTTACATCATTAGTCCAATGCATAAGTACATTTATGTAATCATCAAATTTGTTCATTACAAACAAGTTCATTCTCAAGTGATAGAAATACATATATAGCCATCGTTAAACAAAGCACAACAAGCGATAATGAAAAAAGATAATTCTTGGCAAGATGTTGAGTACAATGTTCAATATTTCAAAATAATCCATACAGAACAAACTGAAAAATCAACGATTTATATCTGGTAAGTGATTCAGGAGTAATTGAAGGGAATTGAAAGAGAACTCTGTAATTTGAAATCGAAATGGACTCATTGCAGGAGCTGGCTAGTTGATACCGGGTATGTCCCCATTCGCTCTCTTCACAACCCCGATTCTCCTAGGCATGGAGTTCAAGAGTGAGTTTATCCTCCTCATTGGGATGTTGGCCCATTCCTCCGTGAGGGCTGCTCTGAACAAGGCCAGAGTAACAGGGGGAGGCTGGTGTCGTCGAACCTGTGTATCCAAATGGTCCCACAAGTGCTCAACAAGGGATAAGTCGGAGCTGTATGGCGGCCAGTCCAGTGGGTGGATATTGTTGTTAGTGAGAAAGTCGCGACAGATCCTCGCTACATGGGGCCGGGCATTATTCTTCTGGAATGTGAAGTTGTTCTGCTGCAAGAATGTGACAACATGGGGTCGGTGGATCTCATATCTATACCTAGCGGCACTTAAATTACCCGGTACCGCAATCAGTGGTGATTTTAATTCATGTGAGATTACTCCCCACACCATGACCGATTTCCCAAACCTATCCGTCTTTACTAGGCAGTAGTCGGCAAAACATTCTCCATGACGTAGGTATACACGGCGTCGACCGTTTGCTCAAAGCAGAGTGAACCGGGACGCATAAGTAAACAAGACCCATCTCCACTTCCTCAACGGGAATATTCTGGGGGAATGAGCCGTCACCCTTGCCATACGACGCTGGAGACGAGCAGTGGTAAAGAGCAGACCTACAAACGGGTAAAGTGCCCGCAGACCAACTTCCCGCATTCGTTTCCTTACAGTTTTTACATGGAAAGGAAGGTACAGATTGCGGAAATGCACGAGGCGAATAAACCTGTCCTGACGTTGTCATGTCACACGCTGATACCCAGATCTGAGTCTGTCAGCAACCCGCCCAGTTTCCCTTAGACATCTAACAAGTCGTTCTATAGTGCAAACATGGGCATCGAAATGTCTAGCAACCTATATTCGCCTTTGACCTTGCATAATCATCGCGGTAGCCTGACCCATTTGAACTTCCGTCATCTGTGCCACTGTTTAATGCTATCAGAAATTAATCAATATATCGGAAAATGAAGCGTTTCTGTGTAACTCAATGTCACAACACTGCTGTGCACGAGATTTTCACGTTTCTTGCTTTCCTCGTATGAGTTTATTAAGAATGCCATGATAAGTACATTTAATACTAAGCTGCCACATCCAACTAGAATATCGTGATGAAGATTTTAAATCATTTTGTTTTTAGTTTCGTTATATCCTGTTTTAGCTTTAGAGAAGAATGTTCATATTAATGTGACTGATTGTTACAAGTATTTAAAAAGTGAACAATGTTAATTAGTCACTATATATATCACTGAACAACACAGTTCATAGAATCATAGCAGTTAGGAAGATGGTCACGGCAGCAATTATGATGGAATCTTCAAACAACTGATACTGATTTGGAGACCACAAGATGATGGGGTAAAATTTGTTACCTGATACACTGTGCTGATATTTGGTATGAAACATGATGGGATGAAGTTTGTTAAAATGAATAAACCTAGCCCACTTTCGAGGCTGTAACAGTCAAGAAGTCAGGCACAGAACCAGTGAGTGATTTATGCTCATTGGGCCTATTATTTCACTTGGCACTGCATCACCTATAGTCCATGCTGCAAGGTTGACCGTCACGCTGGTTTCTTTAAAATATTAGTTGCTGCAATGTACTATTTGCTTAACGTTATGCTAGTGTAACGGCTGGTTTGCTCGGCATCCTACTTCATTGTGGTAGCAACATCACAGGGAGGCGTACATGGACATATCGCAGCCTCTCAACATATGCACATTTCAAATGCACTCCTTAAATGACCCTTCCTGTTGAAAGGGCGTGAAAGAATCTAAACCAAGCCAATATCTAGCGTTAAGCATTAGAAGTCTAAGGTTGATTGAAAAGTTTGTATCTGTGTTTAATTACATGCAGAAACTGTCAACATAACACAGTCTCCCTTAGTGTCCACTTGACTGAGGGTTTAAAGGCACTGGCCAGGGTAAAGGGTACGGCCTTGCAAAAGGAAGTAAGGCAAAATAATTTCGAGACGCATTGGGGGTCTACAGGAAAGGCCTAACATGCCTCACAAGACGCCTAAATATCTCGATTGTCTATAAGACTTGCACTGCCCTCAACATGGTTAGGTTAAATCTTTGTTTTACGCATAAATCGTCTAAATGCACATGTACTCAATTTCACGGCTCTCGTAGAGTGAACTTTTTGACATTTTGCACAAGTATTAGAGAGGTCGATAAAACAATTATTAAGCACGAAAAATTAAACACTAATTTTGTGTCGTTATCTTCTTGTGAATACTGTAAATACCATCCGAAACGTATATCAAATGTATTTAATATTGAAAAAGTGACTTTCGTCTGACTACCTACTACCTGCACCTGTGTGATATTTAACCGTCAATGCTAATCAATCGATGCAACACTTGATGGATAGCAGCAGCAATAGCATTCTACAGCTATTTCGTATTTTCGGGATTTCTCTGTGACGCTTTAAGTTCGGGTGTAACTTTATTCGACCTCAAAAACGAAACGTAAAGGACGAATTCTAACTATTCAAATTATTTTACAAATCGGCCATGTTTGATCATTGTAAAAAAGAAAAACTAAAGAGGAAGTATTTCGATTTCTATATCTAAATGATCATAGTGATATGTAAAAATTAAGTGGTTTTTCCTATAGATATACCAGATACAGACTCAGAATACTTCCTTATGCATTGTGCTGTGATGTTAATCATTGTGAATGATTCACGTTGTACACAGGGCGTTAAGTATCTGTTTCCTACAGATTTGTCAGATACATACACCAATTCAAGTACGTCCTGTTGCCAGCATGTTAAATTTAAGAATAGCTATCAAGTGCGGTTATAAACAAAGAGTAAACAGTTGATATAAATCCAATACTCAGTCGATTTTTACCTTGTCATATATAGACGTTTGGCGGTGTCCATCCGTCCGGTCATGTAAATGGTAAAAAGGAACGGCCATGTTCAAAGCATATTTATAACTTATCGAGCTGTCATCAGAATATTTGACGATTTCTTTCTACTCGATATCATTATATATATATACTCAAGGGATAAAGAAACGTAGGGTTTTATTATTTGCAATATCTTGCGAACACGTTTTTCAAACACGATAAATATCGGCCAAGCAACTCCTAGGTTACGTGGTCCTGTATCGAATGTTGCATTATGGTATTGCGTAACAATGTCTACTATGTATTTTATAAATAAATTATGTTAAGTCTATTATACAGAAGTTGGTAGTATTGACATGTACAATAATGCACATGGACCTTTGTTCAAAGTCTGCTTATATCCGTCTATAGGTACTAGTATATGAATACGGCTCAATACCACACACACATTCAATCACACAAGAATATGTATTAGTGTATTAACACAACATCATACAAACATTTACACACACAAGGATATGTGTTAGTGTATACACAACATCATACAAATATTTATACACACAAGGATGTCAACACAACTCAACGCCACACACATATTTACACACACAAGGATATGTGTTATTGTATTAACACAACTCAACACCACACAACACCACACAAACATTTACACACAAGGATATGTGTTAGTGTATTAACACAACATTATACAAACATTTACACACACAAGGATGTCAACACAACTCAACACCACACACATATTTACACACACAAGGATATGTGTTAGTATATTAACACAACTCAACACCACACAACACCACACACATATTTACACACAAGAATATGTGTTAGTGTATTAACACAACTCAACACCACACACACATTTACTCACACAAGGATACGTGTTAGTGTGTTTACACAACTCAACACCACACACACATTTACACACACAATGAAAGCAGATATCTTTACCTTCTGCTATGGCTAAGACTACGTCTTAGGAGACTGATCTGATATAACATTATCCAAGCATGCTACTTGTCCAATATCAATAGCTTGAGCCGAACGCACCATTGAAGCCAAATTGCGGCATAAGCTTTCCATACTTTTTGACATGAGAGCTTTAAGTATTACTGAACATTTTCGTCAGGTTGGAAAGTAAGGATTATGTAAAGATTCTTTATACACAACCAGGCATTATCTGAGGAAGGTGACAGCGTATGGATCGTACTGGTCACCGAAACGTCACATATTAAAATTCCTGGTTGTGTATAAAGAATCTTTACATAAGCTTTAAGTATTTACTTTCAAAAAGAAAAGATAGAGTTCCAAAATTTCAAATTGTGATTTCAGACACATTGAAAACCGAACATAAAATCATATTTATCTACATTTTGAAATACACAGCTAACAATCCGAGTACTTTTCCAAAGGAAATCGCAGAACCGTGATCTAAGACGTGTTTGAAAGATATATCTTGTTTTGTTATCTCATTATAACCTATAACTTCGATGGTGACATTCTACTCCTCAATATTTTCATTCTATTTGTATACTACATTGTACCTAGGATTGATCTTCCTACTCAGGTAGAGAAATTAGGAAAATAGCACCAAGAAGTTCAAAAAATAATTACAGAGGGAGATATATAGGATTCTAATTTCATGCTAGCTTCATTTTTGTCAATCTCTCAATGTCGCTTGCTTGGGACATATCTGTTTAAAAAAAAACTATGGCATTACCTTCAGATGATAAATGGAAGTCGCTTTGAGGTTTAAGATATACCTTCGCAATAAACAGTGAATATTATCATTGCTGCAAACTGTTGTAACTACATTCTTACATTTTAAATATCGTATACCGCTAGTTACAGATAATGTTAATATATCTTGCAAAAAAAAAAAAAAAAAAAAATGCCGAAATTTCTTATCGGTTCAGCTAAACTGAAAGAAATGTGACCTTATTTGATCAATCAGCTCTTGTCGAGAAAAGGGGAAAAATATCATAAAACAACAGCAATGTACAAATAATTGATAAACATAGTCAATAAGCAATCACTTCTTCTTAAATCTTACTATAAACGAAGATAACCATATAATACAGAAAGCCATTCTTAGATGGATATTTATAACTTTGTACAGTATTTATTTTCCACATGTAACGGAAGTGCATCGATACTGTTTGACACATATAATGGCCTTTGTCGTATAGCTTACGTGATCAATGTAAAACAACACAACATGACGCTAACCAATATCGTAATCAAATTGATACCTTTTATGGAAATTAAAGATATCCGTCAACCCTTGCGAATGTAACATGCAGGAACTCACATTGATTATGTAAAAATAACAGCATCTAAATACTTATTTAGCACAATTTTTTGTATAAAGCATTTAATTTTCTCTGCAAGACCTTTTCGAAATAGGCAAAAATTTCATAAATGTTTCTATCGCAAATTATACAGTCGTGCGGCAGGTATTTTTCTTGTCCTACTGTACATTTTAAACATAACCTGGGAATTTGTTATTACATAATAATCTCAAAAATCCAAAGCCATCCAGATATGGTTTTCATGGCATTGCAGCTGATTGTGCTAAGCTACAAAATAATTGATTATCGGTAAAAATTAATGAATTCTGAAATAAAGTTTGTTTTCTATTTATGAGTATTGGTATTATACAGTATATTCTAATGTACGTATGTATGTATGTATGTATGTATGTAGAAAGTATGTATGTATGTATGTATGATATATTGTATGTATGTATGTATGTATGTAACTTTCACAATATATTGCATGTATTATGTATTGTATGTATGTATGTATGTATGTATGTATGTATGTATGTATGTATGTATGTATGTATGTATGTATGTAAGTGTTTATGTATGTATGTATGTATGTATGTATGTATGTAGAAAGTATTCTTTCTTCTAGCGATTGATATATTGCGGCGTCCAGCGTCCGGTATCTGTCAACTTTCACAATATATTGCAATTATTCATGAACGACTGAGCTGATTTTAATCTACTTTGGCCTGAGCACCCTTGGGGAAAGCATAAGTAATTTTGTGTAAATGGTGGGTCTGGTCCTATCCCAGGACAGATGATTATTTTGAAGCCATTGAGATTGCTATTTCTTAACTTAATATTTAAGATACTCTCATCACTCTCAGACATACAACCACAGATACATCACAGCTGTCGTCTGTCATTATTCTCACAGACATACAACCACAGATACATCACAGCTGTCGTCTGTCATTATTCTCATAGACATACAACCACAGATACATCACAGCTGTCGTCTGTCATTACTCTCACAGACATAAAACCTAAGATACATCACAGCTGTCGTTCGTTATTACTCTCACAGACATACAACCATAGATACATAACAGCTATTCTCTGTCATTATTCTTACAGACATACAACCATCGATACATCACAGCTGTCGTCTGTCATTATTCTTACAGACATACAACCATAGATACATCACAGCTGTCGTCTGTCATTACTCTCACAGACATACAACCATAGATACATCACAGCTGTCGTCCGTCACTATTCTCACAGACAAACAACCATAAATACATCACAGCTGTCGTCTGTCATTACTCTCACAGACATACAACCACAGATACATCACAGCTGTCGTCTGTCATTACTCTCACAGACATACAACCACAGAAACATCACAGCTGTCGTCTGTCATTATTCTCACAGACATACAAACACAGATACATCACAGCTATCGTTTGTCATTACTCTCACAGACATACAACCACAGATACATCACAGCTGTCGTTTGTCATTATTCTCAGACATACAACCAGATACATCACAGCTGTCGTCTGTCATTACTCTCACAGACATACAACCATAGATACATCACAGCTGTCGTCTGTCATTACTCTCACAGACATACAACCATAGATACATCACAGCTGTCGTCTGTCATTATTCTCACAGACATACAACCACAGATACATCACAGCTGTTCTCTGTCATTACTGTGAGAGACATACAACCAGCGATACATAAATAAACTGTCCTCTGTCATTACTAGGGAGACACAGACAGATGTATCAAATCTATCCCATATCAGACCTCTGTAAGACAAACATGCAAAGATATACAACAGCTATCCTGTCAATGGCAGGATTCCATTCATGAAGGACAGCTGTTGATAGTGATGATTCCCAGTATGCCCAAATTGCTGCTTGATAGTCTCCAAGAATTTGGTAACAGATCCCAAGAAGTGTGTGAACCATCCAGAATTTCTGTCCACCCTGTTTATCATCATACTGGATATTTATTAGGTCACGCAATGCTGCTTCACTTCCTCTGGCGTCTCCAAGTTCATAGCAACATAGGAAGTTTAGGAAAAGGGCATAGGGAAGCGGAGGGATCGCTATAGGTAAACACTTTTCATGGGACAACTCTAGACAGAAATGAGGAAGAGACATCCTCTTGTGGCGAAAGATAAGTTCACGTCTAAATATTTTTCGCAATCTGTCTTTTGTGTGCATTAGGTATAGTTGTTCCTCTTTGTACATTTCTCGTAGCTTTGAATTTCCAGAAATGTTGCTTGCGCCATAATATGATGCTAATTTCATAATTTGTTTGCACATTTCTAGTGACTTCCTGACATTTCCAGTCAGAAAATGGAAGGTTGCCAAATACAACAGATCTGTACCCATTGAAGCATTTAGAATTATCCAGTGTTTACATTTCCTAATATTTCTGTATCTTTTTTTGTTGTCTAAAACAAATTTCTGGTCTGGTAAAACTTGATTTGTTGCCAGCTTTTGCAGAGCCTTTAAAACATAGTGGTAACAGTAAAACTCGTCAAAATCTGCCTGTGATGTTGATAATAACTTCATAGCCTTTCTTATAGTTATTATTGTGCGGTCTTCGAGTTCTAATGCAACTGGAAAGTTCTGACAGGTCTCTTCATCCAGTCTCTTATACACTTCCCATACAGGTGTTGGACATTCAAGATGAGTTTGCCATGATGGGTCTGACAAATCCAGCCATATTGGTTTGTAGTAAGTTCCAACCGACAAACACATCCATTTCATCGCGCTGTACTGGTTTAAAATGTCCAATAGTATTTGCTGGTGTTGTCCTTGCACTTTCCTTCTGAACAAATTGTTGGCAGGGATGAAGTAATTGGGACAAAAGCCTGCCTTTACCCAACCGATCAGAATACTGAAGCAATGCCAAAAACAGTAAAACAAGTTTTTGTTTTGCCAAAACATCTGACAAGTATTCTCTATTGCATGAAAAAGAATTGTTTTCAAAAAATAAGAGCATAAGATGTCGTCATCCCCGATGGTATCTTTTAATGTGCCTTTTATTTGTTTTAAGAAATATTTCAGCAGACCATAAACTTTGAGTTGGACATGACTAAATGAGTGAACTAAAGATCTTTCTGCTGTTGCAAATGAAATTCTCCATTGTAGAAATGTGTCTTCAGAACATTTATCTCCAACTGGAACAAGATGACATCCACACTGAACAATCTTGTCTATTAAGGTTTGACACGGCCATCCATGTAGACGTGGGCGTGTGATCCATTCTCTAGCCTCTTTTGGCCAAGTGTTACATGGAAAGCAATAAACAGAATCCAATTCCCCTATAGCTTTTGTGGTAGAGCTAGGCCCATTTGATTCATATCCTAAATATGATAATGTACAATTTTTACTCACATATTGCTCTCTGTAAATATCACTGGATATAAACACTGAAGTCTCTTTTTCAACAAGTGAATTAAAGAAAATTGGGCTGGATTGCTGTCCTATCTGCCTCAGCTCTAAACTGACATAGCCAGGGCGAAAGTCTCCATCTCTCATGTACAGAATAGTTTTTTGTTTCATGTTTTGAGGAATGTATTGGTCAGGGTACATAACTGACACTGTGTTGTCAATCATCATTTGGTCTTTATCTGAACCTTGTATACAAAGTCCTTCTCCAATACTACCACCTAGAAATTGTGTAAAGCGACGAAAGGCAGGATTTGTTAAAAGTTCGTTTAAGAATTGTGCTCTTCTGCGGATATGAACCTCCTCTTGTGTTCCTGTTAAATTTCTATCCAGGTATGTGGACAAGAGCAAAGACATCTTTTCACACTCTTCTGGCTTCATCATGGTGATATTTAAGAATTATTTCTGTAAAAAGAAAAAAACAACACTTTAAACGATGGTATTGCTTTTAACATGAAATATCATGACCATTTGATCAGCTGTGCTACTTTTGTTTATACATGTACCTTATCAAACAGATACTTAAGAAATCCTATTCATATGTGCAATATAACCTATAAAATGATAAAGAAAAAAAATCAAATAGAAAAAATATTAAAAACGAAAGTATCGTTTTTCACCTGAAGTAATCACTAACCTCCTCACAAAACGAAACCTTCGTTAACAACATTTGGTATAACGATAGCCAGTATCTTGGTTTGTGAAGGGCAAGCATCCAGCACTCTACCTTACACACAGAACACTTGTATGTCTATAATGTGTTTATATTCCTCTCGTAAGTCTATAAAGCATATACATGCTACGTTACACTTGATATCACTTGACTAAAGTGTCCTGTTTAAGAAAGCGCTAAGGTCCATGTGTCATAAGTAGGTAGTAAGGTTCAAAATACATCCATATCACTATCATTATACATTTTAAATAGAAATAAGCATGTATTTGATATCAAAATGTGGTCACTCATAACATTTTTATTGACGTAATGCAGACAGTTTTAGTCGTAGTTAGGAAAAGAAAATTGATCCATACCAAAGAAATACTTTCAACACTTATCATATCTAAAGAAATGAAGAGGATATACAAATTTTGCAGTTGATTGAAACAAAGAAAATAAAATAGTTGTGTGTCACTACAGGAAACATATGGTTCAATGGTAAATAATATGCATTTGAAATGAGAAATTTGGACAAATTTTATATTTTTTTTTATTTTTTGAAAGTATATATATCATTGACATTCCTGCAGTTTAATCAACAATATTGAGAGCATGGCTTCTGCAATGGCTAAATATATTCATATCCCATAGATGGAACTCATGTATACCATATCAAACTGGCTTGAGAACTTCTCTTTAACGGTTGAGTGTCAGACGTCCAGGCATCGGATCCCAGATTTTACAATAGACACACAAGTGAATATCATCTTAATAACATAGAGTAAGATACAGTAGAGCCAAACCATGAATTAAACTGCATCGTACAGCTATTTCAACTTTCTAGGAGTCGTCAGTAATGCTTAGAGTGTATGTGTTGGAGAGAGGATGATGGACAGAAAGAGAAAGAGCAAGATGGGAAGTAAGACATTAAGAGTGTAGGTGTGTGTGAGAGAGAAAGTGTAAGAGGGAGAGAGATACAGAAGATAGAGATGTATACTGGCAGAGAGACATCAAGACAGACACAGACCAACAGAGTTAGGGAAAAAAACAGACTGAGAGACAAAGACAGTCTGAATGACAGATAGAATAAAAAAAAGATGCCCAAAACATGTGAAAGGTCAGACAGATACAAAAACAAATATTTATACAAATGAATATAGATAACGGTTTACTGGACCATACAATTATTACTGGTAAAACATATGGGAAGGGAGACAATTCTGTTTATCATTCCCAGTCATTGAAGAGCTATGATTGATGTCAGAGAGCTGTGCACTTGGACCGAGACCAAAATTAATTTTACTTTACGTTTCATTGTAACATTAAAAATCATATTTATGTCCCGAAGTTTCATCTACCAATTTCCATCTTACCTGGCCAAGATCAACATCTGAGAAGCAAAATGTAAAAGTTTCAACCCATCATGCTCGGCATTTTCTGGAGATACACCTCCATGATATAATAAATGCCAGTACAAGTCTTCACTGTACAAGCCATATATAGAGGCTCACAAGGATAAGCCAAGACCAAAGCCAGCTCTGGTGAACACATACCTTCCTTCACCTTTGTGTGGCCTGGCTGTCAGCACCAAAGGAGCAAGGTTACTTCTTGGACACCTTAATATACCAGGATAAGCCAAGAGTGGAAAGCAGAGACAGACAGTCAAGTGTCCAAGGACATTACAAATCTCAACAAAAAGGAAATGTCAGAGAAAACTAGACTGGTGTTGGAGGCCAATACCCTGAGAGGGGATGATTCCCCAACACTATCGGTCTAGCTGTGGATGTATGGTACAACAGCACATCCTTTGTAAGAGCTAAGAACCCGGGGAAGAACGCTTCACAGGGAATAAGCCTGAGTACTGAGACATCTACCCCTAAGAAGTGGATGACATGCCCTCAACAACAAACTTTGTTGAACAGGTGCATGGCTGAGAGGGAAAGGATATGATGTCACCTGTCCATCCTAGTAGTCATCCTGACAGCACAGCCAACACTGACGTGTATGATAGCTTGTCTGAATATGCTACAGGAAAGGACATTGGGGATGAACTGGTCAGACAAGGTGCCCTTATTAAATATGCCACAACAGATGGAGATGGGACTTGAGCCCAAGGCCTAGGGGAAGCCATGAGAACCTTACATCCAATGTGGAAAGTGGAGAGACTGGCTGACCCAATGCACTTAGGCAAGGTACAGTTTCCGAAATGTAACAGAGCTAAGTTCAGTGAGTCAATGTTTCCAGGTCATACTAGACTAATAAGGTCTCATGCTCAGAAGATATTTTTTGGGGACCTGAAAGCCCGGAGCAGTCTGATTTTCAAGGAATTAATGAAAATTCACTCCACAGACATGGAGACTATCATGACTTGTTTACCTGCAGTGTTAGATGCTACTGTATCCTTTTAACAAGCAACATCAATTTCAAATGAATTTGAGGTTTTATAATACTCTAATCAAATGTAATGTGTTACCATCGGGTACCAAAAAATGGAATAGTATATTTGATAATATAGATAAACAAACTTGGGATAAGTACTATTTAATGCCATTCCATGTAACAAAAAATACAAAGTTCCAGTGGTTCCAGTATAGGGTAATCCACCATGCATTAGCAACAAATTCCCTTCTTTTTAAAATTAGATTAGTTATCTCCCCTCTTTGTGTGTTGTGTAACTCTGAGCGCGAAACAATCATTCATCTGCTGTGGGAATGTCAGGAAGTACAAAGACTATTACAGAGTCTTGATATTTTGTTAGAAGCTCTATTTATCCCTTTTTCAGTAAACAAGCAAACTTTCATTCTTGGTCTCCTACATCAAAACTTCCTTCCGAGTAACAGAGTAGACAATGAGATTATAATAATTATTAAACAGTATATTTATAAAATGAGATGCTTACACCATTCACTAAACTTGCATGCACTAATTAATACAATCAAAGATAATTATATGATACAAAAATATATAGCTAATGGTAAGGATGATAAAGTAAAACGTAAATTTGAGAATGAATGGAAAAAATGGGAAAAATTAATACAGTTTTGATCTACACACTTTGATCTATTACCCATCGCATTACTAGTTTTTCTTTTTTTCTTTTTTTTCTATAATTTTTTATAATTATATACATAACAGTCCTTGACCATACCGAGTAATCAGATATAAAGAAAGAAAAACATTAAAAGATTAAATTACTCTAACCTATTTTACCATCTCACCCAACAATCCACTTTACTATTTCTTCATTTTCTTCAATTTCTTTCTCTTTAAATTTCTTATCCCTAATAAAGTTCTATTTCATTTCTTCATTTCTGTATGTTGATGTCAATTTATGGTTGTGTGTGTGTTTATGCATGTGTGCATGGGAAGAAATGCAGAAGAGAGGTTGGACAACACCATTCTAATCCTAAACCATCCAACAGAAGGTTGATCACTTTGATGGTAGTCTGAGTAGGGCGGTCAAACATAAACTTGACCAACTCAGTTAAGAGGATGTTAATCAATGCCAGCACCAGTACAAACCTGCTGTCAAGAAAAGAAGTCTCTCATTGTTAGCAGAACCACACAATCAGCATGCAAAGAAATCCCGATCGACTCGAAAATCCGACTACAGGATAGTTCAGCTAGATCCTACCGTCAATCAATGTAGGGGAGACAACCTGCCTCAGGATCACCTGTATTGAGAAGAGGTGAAAACAAATTTATTTGAGACATGTTGACAATCCGAAAAAAAAAATCAAAAATAAGTATGTAACACGAACAACAAAAACAACAACAAAAATATTTATGACATCCTAAAGAGGGAACCTCCACATGGTGGACAATGTTGTATACATTAGTAAACAACAACTAATACCCTCAAATCAATTAAAACTTCGATTAAATTTTCAAATCCAACATGCAGTCATTGAACCCTACATGACCATAACATACATTTAAATCTAAATAGTACTGCCTATTTTTATCAATAAGATGAGGTTCTTAACTTATGTGCTTTACATTTACATATAAACTATTGTGACAGAGATGGGAACAGTCCAGATCACTTGACAAGTCTAAGTTTTCAGTACAACAAATAAAAGCATGTCTGTGTGCATATTTCTTTTTTCCACTTTAAATCCCTGGGGTCCATAAATGACAAAAGTCCATATTTTCCTAGAAGCCATTATTTGGGCTAACCACAAAAACAGATCTTGTACTTGTAAATTTTGAAAATTTCTCCATCTTAACTTTGAAATTTAGGTGTAGGAATATAACATGATACAAAATATGCTAATAAGATGTTGTTTATACTTGTTCTGTTCCAGTAAGAAAATAAAATATGGAAGAAAATAAAAAAAAATAATATAAATTGAATTTTTAATCACAGTTGAAGTGATTAATTGAAAATGACTTCACTAAGTATTCAGTAATAAAATATAGAACAACCATGCCTATTTGTATATGAATCAGTTGAAAACTTGAATCTGAGAAATAAAACCATGGATTTGCATGGCATTTAATATGGATAATAAAGAAGAAATTGCCATGTTTGAATCACTCTAGTGAGGCGTCTAGTATGTATCAACATATAGGTTTGTCAAGATTTCAACTATTTAGACACTGAGGGATGTTTCTGATTGTTGGCTCTGTCGATACACTGACCTCTCGGATGTACGCTGACAGATAGTTTTTTGCCCTAGCTTTAATCTTAATATTTTTTCAGTCATGTCAATGACATTTTGCTGTAGAAAGAACAAATATTTGTAGAATGAAACAATTCGTGGATTTTGATTAGCTCACCGGTGAGGTGACTTTGTGTATTCCGTCTCAGGACCTGGCCTGGATATCCATACCAGGATCATCAATTTCTCGAGAACAAAAACTCTAATAAGTCTCATATTTTCTACATAAATCTACTTAAATGTTATCAAAATATGACACTTGGAAGCGAAAACATGTACGCCACACTCAACTGTGAAATTTTCCGATAATTTTGCAAATTGCAGCAATTATACATTTTGATTTCAGATTATTTAAAATTCCAAATACTGATTTTATCTACCTGATTGTAAACACACCATATTTACCCAGAAATGGGGTGTAATTCACACCTAATCTTCCATTTAATATGATCATTTGTATACACTTGATCTGCGGACCTGGCCCAGTTCTAGGGGGAGGTCATTCCTTCAGTATGTGCTGTAATTGAAGATTTTGATTTGTTTTCATCTTGATTAGTGTAAAATATTTATTATCTGAACATATTATCACAACTCAATTACGTCAGTAATATATTATTATATATAGAGTGTACATGTATTTCAATTTTCACACGATATCAAGTACATTAAACACAGTATGTATCCATAACTAAGCCTCACTCTTAGTGTTTATTACAGGGTCACTGTGTTTTGATTATTTCACTTCATCAATAAAGAAAGAAAACCTGACGGACTTGTGCTGTTGTGTTGTGTGACTATGTGTATCCAACATCTGAAATATTTTTGTCTTACATTAATATTTAAAAATTTTATACATTTGTAACATGTCTTATCCTTTTCCATATAAATTCTCTTCAAATGATTTAACTATTTAATTATAACATTATTTAGTTTAGGATTAATGACAAGATACAAGTTGATAACGCAATGATTAATTGACGAGTGTGCACGAGATCATAAGTCGTATCATAACATACACAGGACTACCAAAAATGCGGAAATTAACTTATTATATAAGTGTGGGGAATGGTGATACAAATGGGTCAAAAAATTTTCAATGTCACATGAGTGTAACATCTGGGGAAACATTTGTTTTGTTTTTTTGTAATTCTTTTATTTTTCATTCATTTTTGCCAAATTAAAACAAAAACAAATAAATGACAAGTCATACACGCAACATATAGACACACTCTCTCTCACAATTGCACACTTGTATGATTTGCTATATCAATCATCATCATACTCGGTATACAAATCATCATCATGAAGATCATCATCTTGTCATAGGTCTTATCCTTGATGAAAATCATCACCATCATCATCATCATCATCATCATCATCATCATCACCATCATCATCAAGTGCTCAATCGTCATCATCATCATCAACATCATCATCAAGCAGCACTAAATAACTAAACTTGACCATTAACCCGAGCAACCATACAGTGAAATCAAACCTTTTTCAATAGAAAATGCAGTTCTTGCTTGGCACTCGGGGTATCGATCAACAACCGGGAAGTAGCAACCGGAAGCAGAGAGTGAAATCTAAGTCGCGGGTGAAAAGCGTCAACGTTAATCCGGAAAGGATTGACGCTTTTATAGAGCGGAGCCAAACCGTATGCTTGTCCATGTTATTGGGACATTGCTGATATTTAAACACACATACAAATAGACCTTTAAACACAAAAAAAAAAAAAAATGAAAATATAACACACTGTCAAGAAATTGCTGATCGGTGCCAGCTAATACTGACGTATCCAACCGATCACAACGCACATGTTGTACCATAAGATTTCATCATAAAGTTGGGGTCGTTCAACAAAAAAATGAATATTTAAAATTTAAACATAATAAGATGTTATTTTAACCAAGTCTTGAAACTCAAATATAAATACATAGTACAGGGCAAATCTCGAACTCATAGAACTCATACATTTTATTTCTTATCAAGATTTATGACTTACATTTATAAATAGCAGTCAATAAGTCAATTCATTTAAGTAATCGATTTGCTTGGTTGTTACAACATCAATCCGTGTTCTTAATTCCCAAGCAGCAAGTCCGTAATTTTTTGCAGGTTCATTATAATGATATAAAATGTAATAAAAGCGATACTGGCCCGCCAACATAATTAGATAGTATTATATTTTAGTTCTTCCCGCTTAAAATGTTAACAATGAAGTGTGCTAATTATCAAGCCATGTTATTTCTGAAGAGAAGAAATCGCCGGGCGCTTTTCCCATTAGTCATAATATATACTTATAAGTAGTCATATAATTTGGCAAAGAACTTGCAGTACAATCATAGTTTTCTCCCCGGAGATGCATAACAAAACTCCGGAGTTATTTTATTTGATTCGATTTCTGTCTAAATGTTTTATCTAGATACGTTTTGTCATCCTTAGCAACCAAATCCAAGACGTATCATAATTAACTTTACTGTGACTATATATGTACAATTATTACCGTCATAAGCAATGGATACCTTGTAGAACACTCATATCGAACCCAGGGTATATTACAATGACAGCAGAATTAAACACTCGATATCTATGACGAGTCCTAGAAGGGGGAAACAGCTATATAAAGTAGTTCGGACATTCTTGTCGACTCAGTTGGAATTTCCTATATCGCCTGCAGGGTGTCAACAATTTTGGTTCTTATGATCCCTGACAGGTCCTAGAACGACGAAACATGTATAGTATGTTGTTTTCATTAGTTGGCTTTACTTTACTGAATATTTATGCTGTTCACTTATGTATATTTTGTACAATTTATGTATAATGATAACCATGATATTAAAAGTATTCCTTGTTAATTTAAAAAAAAACTAGATATATTACGTGTACATCGTTGTCTGTGTAGGACATTAACACAGCTACACTATGGTTGCCCTGTTATTGTATAATTCATTAAAACTTTTTTTCTTTTGCAGTGTACAACCAATTAACTATAGTAACACACATATACTGCATTTACCAGGTTACTGTATAACTATAGATTAATGAATATCATTTGCCAACGAACTACCTATATATGGTACTTACCTAGATATATTGCAGTTAGCGTGTTATATTCCTTTCTGATCTTAATTCTTACTTCATCATATATGTACCTATTACAGCATCTCGTTATTCTGCCGCTACACGCGACATGTGCTCAAACAAACCGCACATTCCTGCCTCAATATCTCAAGAAGTTAGGATATGCAACTCACGCGATGGAAAATAAGTACAGGCAACGATTAAATGTGTGAGTTGTATGAATCAAGAGTAAAATTAAGTAAGTATTGAAATCAGGGTGACAAGATAAAGTAAAGATAAATGATTAAGTCAGCACGAAGGAAAAGGTAAATATGAACGCTGAAATAAGAACGACTGATGAAAGAAATGTAAATGATAAGTATGTATTAATAACGTAAATATAAAATAAGACACTAAACAAATTCAATAGATATAAATGGTGATGGCAGTACAACAAAAAACGGTAGAATATTCAAGGTAAAGTTATTTTGTGTATGATTACAAGTGTTCAGGTTGATAAAGGACGGATGATGGATGAGTAAGTTAGAAGGAATACTTGAGGTGGACAGAAAATGAACTGATGCCTTAATCGTCTAGGATTAACTCATTCATATAAAGATATAAGATGAAGTGAAATACTTCCATTAGCTATTTTCGCATTGTTATTTCAAGGTGGCAACCTACCGTGGATTTGACTCGTTCTATGGCTATTATTACGGGCAGGAAGATTACTACAACAGATCTGTGGGTAATTATAACTTTAACGATTTGGATTTTCCTCAGTCAGCTCCAAGGTTTCAATAATAAGGCCCTCAGCATCATTGAGAAGGAAGGACGAAACGGCTGTATGAAGTAGTTTAATTCATTATTTGACTCGACTGTATCTATCTCGAAATTTGTATTTAAGGCGTTATTCACTTGTGTGACGATAGAAGATCATTAAGCCTGTTCAATTATAGCTCATACAGTGTAGTTGCTCAATGTTAAAGAGACCAATGTCAGTGCAATACATACGTACAATTTGATTTTAGCAATGTTCATGAATGATTTATTTGCTAGAGAAAAATTAAGAACTGATTAAAGCCGGATCAATCCTGTGTTGAAAAGTTACCTATTCTTATTATGAAATCAATTCGTTTCTTCACTCTATTTTCTATAAGCGGGCGATTTTGATTTCCGTGATAACAAAGAAGCTGTTGTCCCAGATGTTACGAAATATTCAATCGTAAGTATGGCAGGACATTGATCTAAATAAAGGTAATTAAATCCTTGTACAATTTTTAAACCCTGACTTTATAAATGCATTTTCCTTTTATCACATAAGAGGAGCTAACCCAAAAGTATGTTAATTTGTAAATGAAAAAAACATCTGGATGGAAAACATACACATTGTTTTAGTGAATCTCGCTGGATCATGCCGGACATTAAACATTTTATTTCTGCACAAAAGACATGCTTACCTATCAAAAATTGAATTTCATTATTATAAGCGATAAAAAGTTAATTGATGGACGGAGCTATCACTGTACCAGCAAAAGCCTTATAGTGTCTATTTTTTTGATAGAGTTACACCAACAAATCTCTCAAAACATACTAGGTTTAACATAATTACCAATTCAATGTAAATTAAAAGGAATATTTGTCAGCTGACCAAAGCTGAAATTCATAGTGAAAATATACGAAAATGATGAAATGACAATTATGAAGTGTTTAGAATTGCATATGACAATCCCATTATTACGACACCAAATCAAAGAACTAAACGATTATGTGTAGAGGATAGTAAATTGGTCAAATAACAAACATATAACGAAGTGTGTTAACGCAAAATCGATTTTTCTTTTCTTTTTTTTCTAATTTTCACGATATTATTTATAAATCAAAGGTACCTGTTAGCTATGAAAACATGTATAGCAGTATTCAGAATGAAGGAAGGAAATACTGTGTTATGTATGATAGGATTTTTATAATAAAACCGTATATTCTTCAGAAAAGAGTGGTTTAAATATTAAGATTATTTGTAGAATGTATTTGTTTCCATTTTTTTGTCTGTTATGTTATTAAAATACAGGCGCTGATATTGGATACTGCATGGAAGTGTTTTGATGTCCGAAACAGTGTAATACGAATTTTAACAATACGGAAATCAATATGTTAAATTGAGATTTTTTTGTAAGATGAGTGATATCCACAAAATTTCGTTTCTGACAATTTGTTTTCCCAATCCCATACGATGAGTGACAGAAATAATAGCTTTACCAAGAAGGAGAGGTCGTCTTTGTGTATCTTTTAACGAAGGAATCATAACCTCGCGTTTGTTTAATATGTATGGTGACGGCTATGGACGACCTGGTGGGGAATGTGACGGCCGCCCTGAAGGAGAACGGAATGTATGATGACACACTCTTCATCTTCACTGCCGACGCAAGTGAAATAATTCTGACACGTGAGTTACAAAATCTGTTTTCGCAGACATAAATAAAAGTTACACTCATACAGTGTAAGTCGATCAATATTGCTTACGTAAGCCAATCTTAGCTGACGGAAGTCTTCGTCGATTCAATTAATGTTAATTTACTCATCAATTTTGAGGCTTTTACTTATTGCATATACTATTTCAAATGTTTGATCAGAATGGCGGAAGGCCTATCTACCGACTACCGTATATGAAGGCACTACCCGTGAAACAGCCTTTATTAGCGGTGCTGGACTAGAGAACACAGGCTATACATACGATGGGTAATTTATAGACTTTTCTAATGACCTACAGAATTTGTAATGATCATATGACGCGAAACATAAAGTCTATTTCATTGGTATAAGGAAATTGTAATACAGATATGTCGGGTAACATGTAGTCTACTTCAATGGTCGCCGTAAAAAATATGAATACTATTTCAATAGTGACATATAGCTGTATTCCTAAAGTATACAGTTAAAATATAATATAGACATTAGACAGTGCGTGTATTAAATCCAGCTGAAATCACAACCCTTCTCTGTTGTTAAAAAACAAACGGTGTGACATTCCACAAGATTCAGTCTAAAAACAAAGCTCGAATGTTTACGTACTGATATTTTCAAATCTTCCAGTATGATGCATGCCGTTGATTGGATGCCAACTATACTGTCTGTGGCAGGAGGAAAACCTCGTATTAACTTACTGTCATTACCAAAGGATGTTATTCAAGAGATTTTATAATTTTGTAAACATAGTTCGAATATAATGTAAAGTAAATGGAAGGTCGATTATGCAATTATTCTTTGGAATACTACATAAACACTTGCAATCTCGTGTACAAAACGGCAAAAGTGAAAGTCGTATGATTCATTTTAGAAAACAGAACAGTTTTTAGCAAAGCTTTCAAATACTAATAATGGTACAATTTAAGTATGAATCAATTTCAAGATTTACAGATGACACAGATCTGGATGGCATTGACCAGTGGGAGAGCCTGAAGACTGGTGCTCAATCAAAAAGAACAGAATTTATCTATAATCT